AAAACTTAGAAATATGGTTATCAATCCTATACACTTAAACACACATGCAGTTATCCATCTCTTCAATTATGTTGAGATTGAATAAACCCAAGCAGGCTAATATCACTCTGAACAAAGAATAATACTATTGCTGGGTTTCATATTATGACACTCCAGGATCAGCACTGGGTTTTTTAGTGTCTCTTTTTCTTCATAGTATCTGTTCATTTCATCATGTGCCATAAGATCAGTTCTCATAAACTGTTTAAAGATTCTCCACATGCATGAGTCTTAACAGGTATTTCTATCCTTTCTATGTTAGAGAGAGAAACAAAACAAAGCAAGACAAAACAAAACATATTCCTATAAACGCATGAAACAAAAACATTGTATAAAACCACTGTACAAGGTGTTCTACAATGGTTACTGTGTTGTTTCTTGTTATCTCCAATAGAATTGGCTATATCATCAGGTATAGTATAATTGAATATGTCAGTACATAACAGTATTAATAAAAACACAACTTTGTAAAGTATAAAACTTCAAAAACAGGCAGTTATCAAACCAGAATGTGTATCGTAGAGCCTTGTTATCTTCAGTGTAGTTGCCTATACTCTCAGACTTCATACTATCAGTCATATCAGTTTTGAATAAAATCTTCTCTGCCTCATTTCTGTTATGCTCTTTTTTTGCCATCAGTTGTCTGCTTATCTTCTTTATTCTGTTTTCTGCTCCATTCATTGAGGCCTCTCTGCCACTTCCTTGAATCCAAGTACTTTTCTCTCTCTCTAGAATGCCCTGCAGTATTCTCTGTAGACTTGGATTGGTGGTTGCAAATTTCCCAAGTTCCTCTTTGTCTTGGAAGCATCTTGTTTCTCCATTAATTTCTAGAGACAGTTTAGCAGGGTATATCAATCTGGGATGGAGGTTATTTTCTTTCAGGGCTTGAAATATTTCGCTCCAGGCTCTTCTTGACTTGATGATTTGTGTTGAGAAGTCTGCCATTATTCTGATGGGCTTTTCCTATATAGGTTTTCTGTTTCTTGTCTCTAACAGCTTTTAATATTCTATACTGAATTTCTGGGATCTTGATTATTATATGCCTGGGTGTAGCTCTGTTTCTCAAGCATAGGAAAAAGAAATGATATTCAGATATATGAAGCATACAGAACTCCAGCCACCTACAACCAAAACAGATCTACACCCAGGATATCCTGGGTGTAGATAATCAAGACCCCAGAAATTCATCAGAAGAACAGAATATTAAAAGCTGTCAGAGAAAAGAAACAGATAACCTATAAAGGAAAACCCATCAAAATCATGACAGACTTCTCAACACAAACCATCAAATCAAGAAGAGCTTGGAGCAAAGTATTCTAAGCCCTGAAAGAAAATAACTTCCAACCCAGATTGATGTACCCTGAAAAACTGTCTCTCAAAATTAATGGAGAAACAAGATGCTTCCATGACAAAGAGGAACTGAGGGAGTTCATGACCACTAATCCAACCCTACAAAAAATACTGAAGGACATTCTAAAGAGAGAAACAAAAAATACCAGGATTCCAGCAACAGTGGCAGAGAGGCCTCAATGAATGGGACAGAATGGGGCAGACAGTGGAATGAGGAGAAAAGTAGACAACCAATGGCAGAAAAATAGCATAGCAGAGATGAGGCAGAGAAGGTTGGCTATAATCTCTAACACAGATGACCTTGATACACTAACAAAAAGAAACACAGGCAGAGTAGATCAGGAGATAGGGTCCAGAGAGATTCTCTGAATAGGAAATATACTCAGCCTGAAAGAGAGTTTATGGACTGCAAGTCAAAGATGAGAAAACAATGCTCTATGTGACAGGGAATCAGAGAGAAATAGAAACAGTTCATCCAGCAGCTGCAGATAGGTTGAAAAATCATGACACTTTTATGCAGCAGAGAACTACTCAGCTACAAGAAAGGAAAACCTTGAGGCTTTAGTAGGTAAAGGAATACAGCTCAAGATCAAGCTCAAGGGTAAAAAGGTTCAGCACCACTTAGGTAGATAGCAGGTTGCCCCCCCCATCTAAAATCTAAAGGAGTTAGTGTGACCCAAAATGTACAAAGCACCAATGAGAAACAGAAAGGGGAGGAATTGTCTAGAAAAGGAAGGCAGAGGACATTGTTAATAATGTATCAGGATTTAAAAGCCACAATAGTCTTATCGCTCTGTTTAGTTTGATTTTATTCTGTTGTAGTGTGTCTACTTGTACTAGATTTGAGGGCACAGACAGCTATTCCAAAAATAGCAGGATATATTTATTTTACTAATAAGTATGTTCTCAAGGCACATCCATTTACCTATAAAAATGTCCAGTTTATCATTCTTTATGGCTCAATAGTATTCCATTTTATAGAAATACTTCATCTTTTTTATCCATTCTTCAGTCTATGGGCATTTAGGTTGTTTCCAAGACCTGGCTATTATAAACTGAGTTGCTATAAACATGCATGCACATATGTTGCTGTGGTATGATGTGTTTTATTCTTTTGGGAAGATACCCAAAAGGGGAATAGCTAGGTTGAATGAGACCTCCAATCCTAGTTTTTTGAGGACTCTCCACACTGATTTCCACAGTGGCTGCATCAGTCTGCATTCCCACCAACAATGGAGAAGTATTCCTTTTCCCCCCACAGTTCCTCCAGCATTTTTTATTGGTTGATTTCTTAATGATAGCCATTCTTTCTGGGGTGAGGTGAAAATTCAGTGTTGTTTTAATTTGTATCTCTCAAATGATCAGTGCTGTTGAACATTTTTTCATGTATTTATTTGCTGTTTGTACTTCATCTGAGAAGTCTGTGTTCATGTCAGATGCACGTTTTCGGACTGGGTCTTTAAATTTGGGAGGACTGCTCTCTATCTCTCTCCTAAGACTAAAAAATTTGCCTGAGGGGAATCAAAGCTTTTTAAGGTTTTGGTTAATAGGTGCTTAGCAGGTGGCTGTGAGATTTTTATCTTTGTTTGCTTTCAATGTAAACCCATCACAAAAATTATGAAACATTTTAATAGAAATGTTAAACTCCACAAAATGGAATTCCAATCTGTATGTCACTTATCAAGCAAGTTGGTGTCCCAAAGACTCCTGCTTTCTCAGCTCCCACAGATCCCTCTTTAGGGATCACACTGCTGCCTGTTTCCCTCTGCACTGAGCCCTCTCTGCTGCGCTTGTGCTATGGCACACAGAGGGTCTGATAGGCTGCTGGATGCAGCTGGATGGTCATCTCAAAGAAGTTGGTGCAGTGAGGGAAGTCAGGCACTAGAAACTGTGCTGGTAGAAATAAAAGAAAGAGCTCCATTTTCAGACATCTTTCCATTTTTAGGAGCCTCCTAAATGTGTCAGGTTTTCCTCCCTGAACCCTTCCTTTGCCAAAGTACTTGTAGGAAGATAACTCAAGTCATTACCTAGTAGTGAATACTTTATTCTTGTTTGACCAAAGTGTTTCCTCTATTTTTTTCTTTTCAGAGAAAGCATAGAAGTTGGAGATTCACTTCTCTTGCACAGTCAGTGTACAGTTTGCAGATCTGAAGGAAAATACACTGCTATTTTTGCAGGCTTATTTTCAGTTAGCCATAAGTCCTTCATTCTCATTTGGGATAAATCTGTCTGTAAAAACAACCCATGGCAGTTATTATTACCTTAGCGCATGTGTATGTGCAGTTTTATTCCCTTAATGTTTTTTTCAATTAAATAAAATCAGTAACCATGTGGACTCCCATGATGGATAACACAAATAAATAAATAAGTTTGAGGCTAGTTTACATGCACTTCAGTTAACTTTGATGATCAATATGGTTTTACATTTTAAAGAATCCCATGGAACTACTGGGTGAAAATTTGACCTCTTTCCTCTGTCAGACTTAAATAATAAAAATGATGCTAAAAAATGAAGTATTCTTGAGTTAACTCTCTTCAGGTCAGATCCTAGGCCTTCCTCTACCTCCCCTTGGGCTCCTGGCAGGAAATGTGTGGAGAGAGAACAGATGAAAGGTTCCAAATTCTAGCTACAGGGCATTAGAAAAATTTCTGTTCTTCAGCAAGCCCTTGTCTCTTTAGAAAAACAGGGTTTCTCTTAAGTCTTTGAAAAAGCCTTTTCCTTAAGCACTTGAATTGAAACATGGTTTCTCTTAAATCTTTGAAAAAGCCTTTTCCTTAAGCACTTAAATTCTGGTTAAAAACACTTTAGGAAATTATTTTGGCGGGGCGTGGTGCAGCACGCCTATAAATGCCAGCATCCTGGGAGACTAAAGCAGTAGGATTTCAAATTTGAATCCAGCCTGGGCAATTTAGTGACTTAGTGAGACTCCTTCTCAAAGTAGGTAGTAATCAAGATCATCACAATAAAGATGTGATAATAAATCACAATAAAGTGGGATCCAGCTCAATTTTGAACACAGCAAACACAGCTGGAGGGGGTTGTTTATACTCCATGATCAGAGTATAAGATCAATAGTGGAATATTACCAAAAGGAGACTTCCAAGGCTATTTTTGCTAAGCCAATTTAAAAGGACTCTGGCTGAGGAAAATTCTGGGTGATTAGTTATCAAAGAAGGGAGAAGAAAAATTTGGATATTAAGGGTGACTAGATATCAGGAGTGGGGGAAATTCTCACTACACTTATTTAGCAGGATTCCAATTACAAAGGAACTGAGCAGGCCAAACACAGGGCCTAAAGAGGAAGCCTTATCAAACAGAGCTTCAGAGGAGACTTCTTGCTAAAGTTTGGTTGAGTGTTTGTCAGTATCCAACAGGTTTTCTCTTTATGTTACCATGTACCACTCCTCCACTTATTCTTCCAGTCCTGAGACTTTTTAAGGCAAAATAAAAGATGTATAGTTATGGAAATTCTAGGAGGATGGGGATGGTCTAGGCCTCAGCTGGGGAAGGTAACAGACTACAATTCCCATAAACTCTTGCGGGGCTGCGAACCAATTGTTCCTCCCCGCCATTCCCAGAGCCGTGCGCCTGCGCAGAATATCCTGCGTTGTGAGAAGTAGGCGGTGACTGAACAACAAGCCGAGAAGAGGAGAAGGAGGAGGAGAAGGGAAAAAAAAAGGAGGAGGAAGGGGAAAAGCAGACCATAGATTTTTTTCCCTCGGCCTAGAGCGGCCCTTCAAGCACAAGGGAGAGGAGGGCGGGCGGGGACCACCCAGAACTAGCCGCCGGCGGTATCATGGCGTCCCGGAACCCCCCTCCCCAAGGTGAGCGGCCAGGGCCCGAAGTAGTGTTTGGGACGCGGCTCACAGCTCTCGACCTTGCTCCCCGGCGTTTTTTCTTTCCCCTGCCCCAGGGTTCCTGGGGCTCTATTTTGAAGCCGCCCCTTTGAGGAGCCCCTCCGAACTAGCCTTCTGTTCTTTCTGGGAAGCACAGGCAGAAGCGATCCCCTACACCCTTCACATTCCTCTGCTGTCTTGCCTTCACCTCCACCTTAAAACGTTTTTTTCCTTTTCCTTTCGTTTTTTTTTTTTTTAAATTCCCCCACCCCCAAGTGATTTCGTCTCGCTGGGCTCCTAAGCTATTTCTCAGAAGGACCCTGCTCTGACCCTGATGCTACTGTGAGATTTGAGAGGTGACCCCTCACTGCAGTATAACAATGAACTGACTGTGGTTCCGTGTTCCCAGGCGGTCCGTGGGCCTTTGGAAAGGAGATGAGGATTAATATTATTGCCAGGCCCTTTACTGTTAAGACCTTTGTCTCAGGATTTGAATTAAATTCATTAGTTTCCCTATGGACATTTCTAGATGTAAGCCTAAAGTGACCGTGAGTTATGACTTTAAAAAAAAAATGTGTGGAACATTTTTTGACTTTCGATTGACTCAAATGATTTTTTTTTCCGTTTTGTGTTTTAAAGAATATGAAAGTGATGACGACTCTTACGAAGTGTTGGATTTAACAGAGTATGCAAGAAGACATCACTGGTGGAATCGAGTGTTTGGCCACCGATCAGGACCTATGGTAGAAAAATACTCAGTAGCTACCCAGATTGTAATGGGTGGTGTGACTGGCTGGTGAGACGTTTTTCATTAAATTTAATTGGGAGCCTGGCTGTTGTCCTTTTATACATGGGCCAGAGTTACCCTACATATTCAGTGAGGTCAATACTGTTAATTCCAGGAGAGAGTTACTTTGAGGCTTTTCTCCATGATGTAGTTGGTGTGATCTACCTTCAGAGATAATAAGGATTTTGGTGATCCTCTGCCCTGCTGCCCACCACTGTTCCATTTGTCCCTCTTTATCCTTCCTTCATATATTCTCCCCTTTCAAGTTCAGCAAAAGTAATGAATCTGACTGAGTCATAGTGAATAGATAGGAAGAAATATGTCAGTTAATTATATGTGAATTTTGGCTTGCCAGCCATTGGAAAAACCTGTGAGAAATTCCACCAGCAGAACTGGCCTCTAGAATTACCAGCCCTGTGGAGAGTAGTGTAAATGCTCAGTAGAAATTATTGATGATGACACAGTAGATTCTGGCTTTTGTGGACTGGTTCCGGTAATACTTTTCTGTCCTCTCTTTGTATTTTATTGGTACATCTACATAGTGATAACATTCATTACAGGGAATTTGTACCTGTACATGGTATATCTTGCTTCTTTTTTCCTCATTTCCTTCAGTCCCTTTTCTCTTTATATACTGAAGAAAGCTATAGATCATTTGTTCTGTGTTGGAGTTAAAGGACTGATGAAACCGGGTATCGCATAATCCCAGCACACAGGAGGTAGAGGCAGGAGTAACGCCAGGGAGTTCAAGATCAGCCTGGGCTACACAGTGTAAATTCAGAGCCAGCCTGAACTACACAGCAAGATCTTGCCACAAAAATCCAGAAAAATTAAAAATAAAAAACTACTGATCGTTTAATAGTATCGTGGAATACATTAAAGAGGAGTGGTTAATTAGCATTAGCCAGGTGACACCTCAGACCATGTGACTTCACAGTTACTAATGTGAACCTAATTCTGTTATTTTTGGAATTAAAGATTAGAGGCAGAAACAAGTTGAACTCTTGAAAATGTCATGGTTAGAAAATGTTTGAAGTTAAGGTGCTTGTGAATAATTTTTTATTCTAAGTTCACCTCATTGATTTCATTTAGATAATGTATTTCTGCTTGATATGTATAAATTTTTTTATTTGTGTTTTACATGTACTTTGAGATACTGGTTCATTGTCTTTGTAAATGACGTAATAGAAACACTCATTGTGAAGATTCTGTGGCACAGGTGTGCACTGTTTACTCATGATATGTACATGTCAATACTGCTATATGAAAAAAGCCTGTAATTAGGGATTTCTGGTTAGGCCCTGGTCATTCAGAAGCTTTGCCATAAGCTGATTGTAAGTCTGCCCCCATAAATCAGGGTATGTGCCTTAGTTTAAATAAGCCATGGATAGCCGGGCTTGGTGGCACATGCCTGTAATCCCAGCATTTGGCAGGCTGAGACAAGAGGATCACCAAGCTCGAGGCCAGCCTGGGCTACAGAGTGAGTTCAAGGCCAGCCTGAACTGCATAGCCAAACCTTCTCTCAAAAAGAAAAAAGAAAAAAGCCATGGGTGATTGGTGAGAAGGTCAAAAGCCCAATATTAAAATATACTATAAAATAATTGAGAAGTAGAATTATCAGCTCATTGCTTGCTTTCTCCCTATAGACCAAACTTGGTAAAAAGCCTCATCACTGGTAGAAGTTAACTTGGAAAGCCTGGAATGGGTGGTTGCTAGGAGACCTACAAGTTGTGAATACTAGTTAGTTTATTGTAGAGTAGTTTGAAGGTAAGATAATAGAAGCCTGAACCATTACCAAGGTAATGATACCTTAAAAATGGAAAAGAGAAAACAGTCTGATAATATTTTAGAGATACAATATATAGAATTTTGCAGTCATTTTTACCAAAGATAAAGAAAGTAGAATCTGAGATGAATATGAAGTAACAAGTGTGGAGAATAGTGCTTTCTCCCATAAATCACCCTCTTGTCATCACTTGGTGATCTCTGTCTGTATAGCTATGTTTCTATGACATGACTTGAATTAGAGTCTACTGTGTATAGCCAATTATATCACAGTGGCCCTATTTCCAAATAAGATCATATTTTGAGATTCCAAGAAGAACATAAATTTTGAGGGGACACCAACTCAGTACAGAAGGCTAGAGTTAGAAATGTGGTGTTCTTTTGCACAGTATGAATCTGTAATACTTAGAGGAATATGATCTCATTGACAAAGTACAGATGGACACTATTACAGGGATAAATGAGAAGAAACAGGCTTAATATAAAAATAAACACAGATAAGCAGGCTATGAGAAGTATGAGCTGAAGTACAGTGATAAAAGTGGAACTACCTTAGAGGGTAGGAAAGCTTTAGATAGATGGAGGTAGGCAGAAACCCTTAGAAGCAAGGAAATTAGTAGCTCACAAAGAGGTGATGACCTATTTGGAAACTAATTAGGGTGGAGCAGAAAGTTGGGTAGAGTGGGTATTGGCCAGGTGTGTGGAACATCTTGACTGTGTTAAGCAAAACACATCCCTCTTATTACATGAAATTTCAGTTTATGCAAATATAGGAATACAATGAAACTCTTTGAGTATTCATCTTTAAATTTCAGTAGCCACTCCTTTTTGCCATAAATTCTCTTCTCTTTTTGTCTTTTGCAGCAAATCTCAGAAACTACAGATTGTGCTTTTGTTTTGGCTTTTTGAGATAGGGTGGCCAGGCTGGCCTCAAATTCATCCTCCTGCCTCAACCTTCCAAAACGCAGGGATTACAGGTGCAAGTCACCTCATTGACAGATCATGCGTTTTTTACTAGCCTGTGTGACAGAAAGAAAGCACTGAGTGTTTCTCAACAGGCAGGAGACAGGATCAAAAGAAACAAGATGTTAAGTTTTATTAGGAAAGCAATAAAAAGTAGAAGAGGCAAGCACTTAGAACAGTATGATGAACCTATGGCTTGTATGCCAACTTTTAATATCAATGAAATCTCCAAAAGGTTTGCCATCACTGTTTTGGAACATTGTGGATTGTTTTCATCTTTTGTTATTTCTTTCATTAAAGGTGTGCAGGATTTTTGTTCCAGAAAGTTGGAAAACTTGCAGCAACAGCAGTAGGTGGTGGCTTTCTTCTCCTACAGGTATGTTCCAGCATTATGCACTTCATCTTGTGTAGGTAGCCCTTCAGGGCTAAGAAGGTCAAGTTTAACGATTTCAATTCCAGTCTATTTTAAGAGAAGGTAGAATTTTTCTTTCAGGTGTAAATGATTTTGAAAGCTGGCATCTGTCATGAGAGACCACAAATTAAATACTTCTAAATTCTTGAAGAGAAGCTTGATTGCAGCTGTTAAAATAACTATTAAAAAAATAAAATGAGCCAGGGTGGAGCTGGATGTGGCGGGTTATGCCTGTAATCTCAGCACTCTGAGAGGCTGAAGCAGGAAGATTGCAAGTTTGATATTAGCCTGAGCAATTTAATTACTTAGGAAAACCCAGTCTCAAAATCAAGAAAAATAAAAAGGTGAAATGTAATTGAGTGCAAAGGCCCCGGGTTCAATCCCCAGTACTATTCACACAAACAAACCACAAGCAGAGGGAAAGAGAATGCAAGTAAAAAGAATTAAGATATGTCATGTACAAATACCACCTCTCCATGATGAATGTAATCATTTTGTATTGCAAACGTGCACTAATAAAAAAATTTTAGAAACCAAAGAAAAACCTCAGGCATGGTAACACAAAAGCTGAGGACATAGCTCAGTGGCAATGTCCTGAATTCAGTCTCTGGCACTGAGATAGATAGATAGATAGACAGGCAGACAGATAAGTAGATAGGAAGAATTAAATTTTTATTTTTTATTACTTATCAGATTTTCCTTGAAACATCTCTCTAATAGAATAAACATTTCAACCAGTAATGTAACTGTTTAAACATCCTGACTGGTTAAAGCCTATATTTAGGATTCACACATACCAGACATGGGAGCACACACCTGTGATCCCAGCACTTGAGAGGCTGAGGCAGGAGGATCTCCACAAGTAGTGAATTCAAAGCTCACCTGAACTACATAGTGAGAGCCTGTCTCAAAGACAGAGAAACAAACAAAAAAAAGAATTCACACACATACAGAAAAAGTCTCTTTCCCTGTTTATAAAACTCAGAGGTCTCTGCTTTCTCATTTTCTACTTATGCATTTTTTGTTCCCAGAGGAAGCTGCTATTAACAATTTCTAATGTTTCTTTAAACATAAAGAACTGTAATAATTTAGTAGAAAATTTTTAAAAAGAAAAAAATTTAGTAAGAGAAAAATTGGGTTTTTAGAAAAATCCATAATCCTGTCTCTGAGGCAGGAAGATTAAAATTTTAAATTTGTTCATCTCCCCATGAAGTATAAGGTCTAAAAATATTGAGCCATTAGAGAAGGTTTATTGAGATATTATCTGATATTCATGTCTGTTCAGCATACATTTTTCTAAAAATATTCTGTGGGGCCAGGTGTGGTGGCCCATGCCTGTAATCCCAGCACTTCGGAGGTTGAGGCAGGAGGATCGTTGCGAGTTCGAGACCAGCCTAGGCTACACAGTGAGCTCAAGGCCAGCCTGAACTGCACAGTGAGACCCTGTCTCAAAAAGACAAAAAAAAAAAATTCCGTGGGGATCAAGCATAGCAAATCCAATCATTTTAAATCTCTGGGAATGAATGTTAACAAAATTTTAAAGATCCAGAGAATTGTCAGTTATACCAGATTTTAAAAATGATTGATGGTCCTAGCAACCAAAGTCTGACTTCAGTAGCTAAACCATTGATCCTGTAACAACCAGGGTAGATGCCTTTTAAGTACAGAGGGACAAGCACTGAGTTTGAGTCATGTACTAAACAGCCCCTTTAAAGATATATATTTTCTTTTAATGATGTCATTAGGAGTAATTACTGATTTCCTGTGGTAAGAAATGGCAAAGAATATAATTAATATCTAAATTTAGTCCTTTGAATGACTGTGCCAGTGTTTGTAAAAAGAGAATTTTACTTAAGCTCATTTTGACTTGGGTTTGTGATAGAATCAACAACATATTTCTCTAGCTATTTTGAAAACTCAGTTGTCAATTCTGTTCAATTCAAAAGGGTACTGGTCTGAAGTAGAGTTTCCTAAAATGTTCCCAGAATAGAGAGAAATATATATTTTAATCTGCTCTGCATGTCAGTTTGTCAGAAGTCCCATTTCAGCCCACTTAGTGCACACCATTGAAACCCACATTTTGCCATTGCCACCTCCCACTTGCCCCTGCTTAGTCCATGTATACTTTGAAATCTGTAAGGCAGAAGAATACAGGGTTCTGTCCACATCAAACTGCTTTTTTCCATAGCCTTGAAAACTCAGGAAAAGGAACATGAAATAGAGAAACCTGTGGCTTTTCAGCTAATTGCCTCATATTCTTTTGGTCTGCTTCCATAGTTTATAACCTTTACTCACATTTAAAGATAAATATTAGTTTACTTAGAATGTAAGGCTTTTCTAATAATGATGTAATATTTATCACACTACCATCTTAACATAGATAGTGGGAACTGGTCCAAGTACTCATATTTACAGCTAATTGATCACAACCAGTTACAGACTTCTTTGTTCCTTCTCCACTCCCACTGCTTCACTTGACTGAAAAAATAGGACAATGGTATATAAATCTTTTGGTTTTTATTTTAAAGTTATACATGCACATAATTCATAGGGTCAAAAACTTGTACAAGGCTTGTTCCAGAATAGAGTAATCCTCTGCCTCCCTCATTTTCCCCTCCCCTTGAGACAGCCACTTTGAACTCTTAATTCTCTTTTTTCCCTAAACAAGTTAATTGGGCACTTCTTGATCTTTCAGTTTTAAATAGTAAATGTTGTTTTCTCACTATGGAATATGAGAGTGTAGCTATCATTTATTGAACTATTCTTTCCGTACCTCTCCCCATCTCACACATGTGAATACTCTACTCACAAATACTGTTATTTCATAATTGTGTTAGATCTTTTTATTCACTGAATTTTTGTGTATGAGAGGTTGGTACTTGATACTGAACCCAGGGTCTTTATATTGAGCTACATCTCAAGGCTTTTTTATTTTTATTTTGGTACCAGAACTCAAACTGAGGACCTCATGGTTGCCAGGCAGGTGCTGTGACACTGAGCTATATCCCTGTAAGCCCTTTTATTTTGAGGAATGCTCAATTAAGTTGCTGTGTTGCCCAGGGTGGGCTCAAACTTGTGATCTTCCTGCCTCAGCTTTCCAGAGAACTGAAATTATGAGCATGCACCCCTATGCCAGGTTCACCAAGCTTCTTGAATCTGAATTTATGTTTTTTACTATATTTAGAGAGATTTGGGCTACTATTTCTAGTAGAAAGTTTGAGGTTATTTCTTTAGAGAACTACAAGTTATCTAAATCACCTCATTGTCCTATGTGTCAGATAATATGTCACTTAAGCCTTCTGGACAAATTTGTCCCAGAGTCCTCTGCCCTGCTTGGCTGGTATATGGCTCATGTCCTAATATCCTTCTCCTGTATCTGTCTGGATATTCTCTTTGCCTTTCTCGTGAGTTAGTTCCTATACCTTGTATCTTCTTCATCTATTCTCATATTTTCATGTGCGCTGTATCTTCCAGTAACTTCTGAAAACAGTGAACATGGGACATATAATTTTTGAGACTATATGTCTAAAAATTTGTTTTCCTTTCACATTTGACTAATAATTTGACTGGGTTTAGCTATTGCTTCGTTGTCTTCTGACTTCCAGTGTTGCTTTTAAAAATCTAAAGTAATTCTAATTCCTTAACCTTTGTACATGTGGTTTCTTTTTGATTTTAAAATTTTTAAATTTATTTACTTTTGTATGTATATATGTATGTATGTATGTATGTATGTATTGGTTCTAGAGACCAAACCCAGGGCTTTGGCATGTGTTAGGCAAGACTACCTATAAGCTTCACCCAAGCTTTATTTAGAGAGATAGAGAGACAGACAAAGACAGGCAGAGATACAGACCTAAAGATACAGCTAGTCTTCGTTGTCATGCTAAAGGCTTTCCCCCATACCTGATGATCTTTGGTTGTCCATTCATATTTCAGAATTAGGCACTGAGGATTGATGGCAAACTCTAAGTGTGTGATTAGACTTTCCATTCTCTGGGAATTCTGACCCAATCCAAGAAAATTGTTGTTGGGAATGGGGAATTTTCCCAATGAAACAGCCCAGTTAGAGTCCATCTATTTATTTATAGCTTTTAAGCAGATACAAATCATTGCCTGAAAGCCTGGCTTTTTTTTTTCTGGTACTGGAAATCAAACTCACAACCTCGTGCCTGCCAGGCAGGCACTTATGCCGCTAAGCTAAATCACTGGCCCTACCCCAGCCTTATTTTTAACCTGGAATTTTTTACTCTAATGGAGACTGTACCTAATTTCATTAAATATTTTAATATTGTAGAATTACACTGTTTAAAAAGCAGTCATTTCTGCTGTCCTATGTCCTTTCCATTCTGTTGGTTTACATTTCTTTGGAATTTAGTCAAATGAGTTCTGGAGGGACCAGACTGATTTTTTTCAAATTCATTTTATTTCAAAGAGGAAAAAACTAAAACAAAATTTCAAAACATGTCAGTCAAGTGGCAACAATGGTACATACATTGCACATTGTCATCCCTAACCCTAATTCACCCAGAGCACAAGACATCTGCATTCAATCATCTGAACAGTACCAGCACAAATCTTTCTCTTCAATGAACTCAAAGAAATCAGTAGTATAATTATCTTTAATTATTTTATCTATCTATATTCATATACATGTACATATGTTGTTTCTTTCAGCTTCTTACACTAGTGAGACAATATGGTATTTACACATATGTGTCTATGAGTATGGTCTCACTTTGCATATATTTACCTATAAAAGTATCCAGTTGATCCTTCTTTACATCTGAGTATTTCTCAGTCAGTGGGCATTTAGGTTGTTTCCAAGGTCTAGCTATTACACATTGTGCTGCTATAGCATGTCTAAAGAAGACATAGATAAAAAAGAGGAACATAGTAAAATGATGGAAACCTTGAATGACTATAAAAAGGAATTACAATGTATGAAACAGATTCAAAGTAAGATC